ATTCTGATCTGGAACTAGAGCCTGCTATTAACACTGCAAAGACAAAAAAGGGTATAAAAGGACAGAAAACTGCATTGGCCCTAAAAAAAAAAAAAAAAGGGTTCTTAAAAGAAAGCCTTGATCTTTCATTGGCAGTGTAGGGACTATGTTTGTTTTATCTCAGGGTTCCTAATACAGAATTTAAGGAAAGCTCATGGTTTTAAAGATGAGGTAATGGTTGAAACATGTTTAAGGATGTTCAGGTGGATGTTCATTGTTTAAAAATCACAATGTGAAAACTGTTTTCTGCTTAAATAGATGTTGAGCTTCAGCAGTGATGGTGGTGATCTTTTTTGATGGAAGCATATTGTTCTTAAGGCCAGTTCATTTTTTGGGGGAAAAAAACCCTACTGGACTTTGGTACAAAACAAGACATTACTTTTGGTGGGTAGAACACGCTGTTTTGTTTGGGTGTAGTAAGGGAAAATAGAATAGAGCCCAAAATAAAGAAGGCTGGTCTGTCCTCATGGATTCAGTCTGTGTCTGGGGTAGCTGTTTATTAGGGCAGAGAATATATGCAGTGAAAGTCTACCAGCCATTAGGGGGCTGTGCTCAGGGTACCTAAGTTTCTCTCCAGGGCTACTAGCCTTGCAAAGCAAATGGATCAGGGCATTCAAGACTTGTGTGAAGTTTAATCAGTTCTATTAGCCTCAAAAGTGTGAAAGGGTTGTATTCTGAATTCACCCCAATGATCCCCCTGTAACTGTTTCCTTAAATGAGGCAGGGGCTGGTGAAGGTTTCTTATCATAGAACTCCTCTTTCTCCAGCAGACAAGATAAAAATATGTATATCCAAGACTGTTCTGCCCAGTTTAGGTCTCCTAATTATTTTTTTTTTTTTTTTTACCCTGTGCTAATACCATTTCACTGACTTCCTTGTGAGAATACAATAATAGGGCCTTCATAAAAGGGAAAAAAAATCCCAAACCCCTAAAAGTAACTAGATCTCTCCCTCTTCTGCATTTTCCTTATTCACAAAAAATAGCCTTATCAACAACTGAAATCAAGTTTGTTTGGCATGATTTGCAAATTACTCCTATATTAGACCAAATGAAATTTCAGCCAATCAATCAGTCAACTTGATGAAAAGTTGTTAAAATGGTAATTTTTTTTAAAGTAAAAAATTAATTTATCAAAAGTAGATTAGTCATTAAAGGCCAGGGGAAAGTCTTCAAAAAAAGTCTCTATTTATTATCTCTTAAAAGAGCCAGCAAAACAAGAGACTTCTCACAATTCTCTCTTTCCCTCTCTCTTTCCCTCTCTCTTTCCCTCTCTCTTTCCCTCTCTCTTTCCTCTCTTTCCTCTCTTTCCTCTCTTTCCTCTCTTTCCTCTCTTTCCTCTCTTTC